GGGTTTAGGGTTTAGGGTCAAGGGGCCTTGATATTTGGGGTACTTTGAGGCATCGGCATATTGCACAATATACACCAACAATTAATTCTAGTTAAGAGAGGGTCCGAGGTATCGACATATTGCACAATGTACACCAACAGTTATTCTAGTTAAGAGAGAATCCGAAGGACCAGTAACGATACTTTCCCGGCGTCCTTACTGCATGCTGCAGATCGGGTCCTGAGACTTCTGAAGACCTCAGGTGTTGCACCAGCAGCTTTAACTACTCCAGAGATTGACCAGGCAAGATGGAGCTTGAGCTGCAGCTAGCTGTAACACACGGCAGCAACCATGAACCCAGTAAAACACCAGCCTTTACCCGAAACCTCAACCCCCGAAGGGTCCAGCCAAATGACGAAACCTGAAACTGAAAAGCTGTAAACCCCGAAGCACTTCTGATCCCGCCCCCAACCCGAAATCCTTAGCCGAAACAAACGCTCAAATGATAAATTATCGGGGGACTCGTTGGAAGTAGTGTTGCACGTGGCATGTGGAGCAGAGCCCTGGAATAACCCGAATAGAATAATCACGCCATGTCAACTCCAACGACGCCTGCGTACAGGTTCAATCATACGCAAGGCCATCTAAAATCTAAACCACTGGACTACGCCCGAAACCCAAGGAGCTCAGCCGCTTATGCCACGGCCCATAACCAGCCAAAAGCGAATCCTAAGAAATGGACAACCCTCGCAAACCAAAAACCTAAACCTTATAACTTATAACTGTAATTCCAAAACCCTATAATAAGCCACATTAATCCACGGTTTCAGGATTCTTGACCGTGCTTTCCGTGTAAACTGCCTCCACAAGGTGGGCTGTTGAGCTGAAAGTAAGCCCTAGAATCTGCTCTGGAGACCCTTTTATAAACCCTGTCATGCACCATACAGCTCCATAAGACTCAATACACGCATGAAAAATCCTATGAAAACTCCAAGCTCTATGAAGCACATCATTCGCACCCATTAAAGCCCGAATGAACCCCAATACATTACCCAAACCCTAAACCCTAAACCCTAAACCCTAAACCGCGGACGAGAGCCCAGCGGCGCCGCTGTGGAAGGTGACTCGGATCGCTCCTCGGCCTGGCAGTAGTCCTCGCGGTTACGGTTTAGGGCTTATTTTGCTTTAGGGCTTATAGGGCTTAGGGTTTAGGGTTTAGGGGTTTAGGGGTTTAGGGGTTTAGGGGTTTAGGGGTTTAGGGGTTTAGGGTTTGTTTTGCTTAGGGCTTATAGGGTTTAGGGTTTTGAAGGTTTTGCGTTTAGGGTTTCGGGCTTAGGGTGTATAGGGCTTGTAAATCCCGTCGGCTCTTGTCTTGCGGCACGAGTCTTGGAAACGTTAAAGTTTATTTTAGGGTTTCGGGTACAGGTGTATACGGCTGACAGGGTTTATAAGGTTTAAAAGGCTTAGGGCCAATAGGGTTTAGGGGGTTCCTCGCGGCATGCTCTTGGGCGGTGCAGCGTTTTTTTCGACGACATATCGCCTTACACGTGGGAACGGCTTGACATGTGTCAGGAATTAGACGCGGTCAACAGTCATCGCCTAATGCGGGGTGGATGTATCAATAATGCGATCAATACGTCAACTATCATCGCTGAGGGTCTGTTCAGCCTCAACACAAATCACACCCCAGAAGACATCAGCATTTTTGGGCACTCCCTGCTCGCCCGCCAGAGTCTACAATCTGCCCACAACCACAAGCGAATGCACGTCTTGCTGACTTCCGAGACTGTTCCAGGGAATCTCCAATTCGCAAAGGGTATCGAACTAGTGTGGAATTAATTAGCGTTCTCATCGCTTGCCCAACATCGGCTTCTTTCGAAGACCTTGCAGTGGACCCTGTTCACGGTGCCCGCTCTCCACAATGCTCGTGTGATATAGAGGCTTGGGATTCAGGGCTCATTACTGCTATGACTCTGCCAAGCCCGCTCGCAAAAACAATCTGTCGTCCTCCAGCGTGGCGGGTGCACGCAGTGGGAGGGGGTTCATCCGTCGGCCGGTAACGCTAATTTTTGCCTGAGCATTCAGAAGCTTCTGCGTTCATTGCGGGTTAGGATTGTAAGATCCATTGCCCAACTGCCCAATTATAGGAGTAATTATAGGTGCTTAGTGCTTAGGGTTCGGGGCGCTCCACTTGCCCTCATGCTCACGTTTTGCCTCTCACTGAAGCCGGGTACCTGTACTGCGTGAAGAGCGATTTCTTGCCGAAAAAAACATGAGCATAGCTAGTACTTAGGGTTCAGGGTTTAGGGTAGTAGTCGTCCAGTCGGGGCCGGGGCTGTGGTTGTAGCGACAACAGTTCTATCACTGTGAAGAAACAACAGTAAGCACTGCAGTCATATGGGGGTTTCCGAAAATAAGGACCCTAATATAGTACCCTAAATAATACCCTAATCTTCTGAAACTCCCATATTCTTCAACCTGAAGGTGTAATCAGCGTGCTCCGCAGGATAATGCTAATAGCACCGGCAACAGCTGCAGCTCGAACACTCACGACCAAAGTCCTCAATACTGATGCTGGCACTATCAATACAATTTGGCGACACTCAGAGCAATAAGACTGAGCATAATCAAGGTCGACGACACTATGGCGATGATGATGATGGTGACGACAAAGATGACCATCATCATCAACATCATCATCAACATCATCATCATCATGCGTGGCCGTGACATCACCACAATAATCACCATCATCGAAACCTGTCAGAAAAAAGAGTAGCAAGCACCGTGGATTGGAAAATATGGTACTACTTACAACTGACGACGATGGCTATGGTGACGGTGATGTTGACGATGATGTTGCTGCTGCTGCTGATGATGATGACGACGATGATGACGATGATGATGATGATGGTGATGACGATGACGGTGCCATCGCCGTCACTACCAGTGATGACACATAACAATGCCATTCTGAGCTGCGTTGCTCATCCAAATGCACACTGAAACGTCACAATCACACGCTCCTCTGAAATCTCAGACCTAACTACGTCCGAAACCGTAAACTAAAGACCCTAAACCCTTAAACCCAAAGCTTTAAATCCGAAAACCGGGCCTTCTTCGGCTCGTGCGAGGTCCGGCGCGAGAAAATGCTCCACGGGGCGGTAGCCTTCCGGTGCGGACTTGGGGTTTAGGGTGTAGGGGNNGGGTTTAGGGGTTTAGGGTGCAGAAGTTGGCGGGCGTTGTGTGTAGGCGTAGCTGAGGTTTTGTGTGGGCCTTCGTCTTTTTAGCACAGCTCTAAGCGCTGTAAAGTTCACGTTTTCAGTTCTCCGGCTTAGGGTTTGAACCCTGAGGCCTCCACAGCTTCAGGGTCTAGGACTCAAGGTAAAAAGGCTTGAGGCTTTCTAGGCTTTGGGCTGAAGGTTCAACGGGTCTGGGGCTTCGGGTCTGTAAAGTTCCCTAAACCCTAAACCCT